CCTCTGGCCTCTTCTGGTTTTTTACCTGTAGCCCTGTCTGTCTGTGTGTAACTTTGTGAGCCAGCATTTTTACTTTTGACTCATTATTTTAAAAATTATGATTTTTTCTTATGTTTGACAATGTATTGTCTTTAGATTTTTATGTCTTTGTACCTTATCATTTTTTTTTTTTTTTTTTTTGGTATTGGGACTCGAACTCAGGACCTTGTGCTTGCCAAGCAGGTGCTTGTGCCATTGAGCTATAGCCCTGGGCCCTGCTTTAGCTTTAAAAAATGTTTATTCCTAACTTCCAAAGTTTGGTGTTTTAATTTTCCTTTAGGAATTTCCACTATTTTGAAAAAACTACCCTATTTTATGTTAGAATGATAATTAGTACTGTAATTAATTTATTTATAACATAATTAATAGTGTTTAAAATTCCTTTTCAAGGCCAGGAGACAAGCTTCTCAAGTCTTTACAGCGGAGAAGATTCCTTGAAGAATTAAGCTTTTTGGTGATTATGGCATTGCCCTTTGTTTTCCAAACTCTGATATGGAACTCTTTAATACAACTTAAGAATCTGCAAATTCTCTTAAGTGCTCAACATGTTTGCCTACATTACATTTTACCTTAAAAAAAAATTAAACCTTTAGTGCTTTATTATCTACTAATTGTTTCAATAAAATATTTTCTTTGCACTGAAATTTTTTCTTGCCCATGTTTCAGAACACAATTTTCTATTGTGTGTGTAAATTGATATATATTGGGTCTTGACTTGTGTACGTTCTCTTAGTATTTTACATATATTAATCTTTAAAATTCTTCTTTTAGACAAGTGCTATAATTAGCCCCCTGAAGGAGCTGGAGCTCTCACAGAGTAATAATTTGTCCAAGAAAATGATCATGATTTGGGGGTGAGCCCACGCTGTTCCACTTCCAAGCTCTTAACACTATACTATTTAGCTATCGTCTCTTGAAGAACATGTATAATGAAATTCCCTTTTCACTGTGTAGACATAGTCTTATTATGTAACAGGCATAATTCTTTAAATAAGGATTTGCTTTTGCTAAATATTTATATTGACTATACATGTAAATTTTTGTTGTTGTTGTTGTAGTTGTTTTTTGTTTTATTTTTCTGGTGCTAGGGATTGAACCCAGGGCTTTGTGCATGCAAGGCAAGAGCTCTACAACTGAGCCAAGTCCCCAACCCTCAATTTTAGAGTCTGTGTTGAATGTATCTTTTGTAGGAAAGAAACTCCCAGATTCAGGTGGAATATTGTTGTGAGTCGCTGGAGCTGGATATTGGTCATGTGACAGGGCAGGACAGAGCCAGTGCCTCAGGCAGTCAAGCTACCTTGGTATTGAAAAAGGCATCCTGCTTGGAGAATTACAGTCATTAGTCACTAGGCAACATAATCTCTCCTGATACTAACTTTTTACAAGAGTATAAAATAAAGACCCCTACTGTTGCCCATCAGGTAAGAGGTAACTCCGCCTGACCCAGCTCTTGTATTTTCCTCCACCCAGCACGGTTTCTCTCCGGCGTACAATGAGACCAGTGAGGTCCCTACAGAATATAAGTTGTATCACTGCAAGCATGAATTCCTACTCTGACAGACATAGGCAGAAGGAAATTATTTAAAGATTTCAGAAGCTCACTGGACCCATGAGTAACTAGAGAGCTGGGCTGAACCAGCTCAACTGCAGGCTAAGATATGGTTTAATTTATATCCAGAACAATCTTGTTATGTACCATAGTAAAATTGTCTGCTCAAAATTCAGACTCCAGGGAGGGCATGATTCACATGAGACTAATCAGATAGTGATCTCCAGAGGAAATGAGGATGGGAAGGAAATGGATATTTAAAAGCCAAAAATAAAAACATTTGTGAATTTTAGGTACTCCAACAAACACTGAAATTTGCCCCCCCAAAATGAAATAGTCTTGCCAAATAGAAAATTCTGAAACTGCCCTTTCTAATACTCTGTCCTTCAGAAGTAATATTTTTTTTAGTTTATATCTCCATGCAGTTGTTCTTTTTCATGCCACTATGTTCTCTTACCTAGACAGTGTGATAACCTAACTAGTCTCTCTGTCTTAAGTCTGTATTCTCTACCATTTGTCCTTCACACTGAAGCACAAACATTCTAAATACAACAGTGTTTGTCAGCTTTCTAGGTTAGGTTAATCCTCTTCATTATGGATCAAATCCAGCTTTCTTACACAGTCTGGGCTGTGCTTACCTCTCCAGTGTGATCTCTCACCAATCCTTTTCATTAAATATTCATTTTTTTTATTTTTAGTTTTTATTTCTATTGGTACATGTTCACAGTACATAAAGATGACATTTACCGTGGGGAATTGGTACATGTATATAATACGTCCTAGTGCTTTTCACTTCCCCTTCCCCTCACTACTCTCATCACTTGAAGCTCCCTCAGCCTGCTGTCCTTTGTCAAAGTACACGCAGCACGTGCTGCCTAGAGCCTCCGCGACAGCATTCCACATGTGCTCTCCGCAGTGTTTCTTGCCCTGCTCAGTCTGGGGTAAGTCACCCTCTGAGGACTTGACACAGTGTTCTATAGACTTCCAGTGTCTTAACAAGGTAAGCACAGAAATTAAAAATTGCTGCAGTTTCTTTTTTTAATTTTACAAAAATAGCATTGGCTTGTGCTTCTCTTTTAAAAATTGTCCTTCACTACAGACTGGGAAGCACTGTTCTTCCAAGAGTCTGCAAGAGCTGCATCACACTGCTTACTAAATTGCAGTCTATTTTAATTCTCTACCTTTTTATACGCCCCTCAGTAAAAGCTGTGATTTCAGGAACGGTGCCTACTTTATATGCATAACCCCAGGATCTCTAGTATGTTTACACTCCAAAATACTTTTTATTGAATGAGAATGGAGAATATGCCTGAAAGTGGAGAATATGTCTGAAGTGTCTGGATACTCCATCTTTTTATCTCTTCAAATCATCCCTCACGCCCAGTGAATTCAAATCATTATCTGTAAGATGACAAGAAGTCTGATTAGGGAAGTGAGAAGTAACAGGGTTAAACATTTGAGTGTTCTGCAGTCTTTGAGTAGATCATGGAGTTAGGAACACTCTCCTCAGAAAGAGAATGAATATGTACACATCTGCAGTATTTGCATAGAGTATCAGCCTCAACCACAGCCAGTCCCAAAGGTTGAGTCCTGCTCTTGGTCACTTCCCACAAAGGATGAAAGTAGACATTCTAGTTCACTGGTTACCAGGATTTATCTCAATACCCCTTGACATTTCCAAAGTACAGAAGTTTCCACGAAGTTTTGTGGGCTATAGCTTTCAGTGTTTGCAATAAATGAGACATTTTTTGAAACAACACACAGGTATGTTTTCCATTAGCCATGACCATCAAACAATGTAATCTATTGAGAATCATTCTTTAAACATAATAGTTCTGCATATGAAATGTCAAGTTTGATATCTTCAAGGAATTATACAGTATGAGTAATTCTTCATTCAATATAAAGTTAGTTTCACATAAGGGCTTTGTATATATTGGTGCCACAGCCATATGAGACCAGGCTAATTTTAATTTTAGTTATCATCATCATCATCTTCCCCAGATTCTTCATTGTCCTGACTGGCAAGTTCTGTTGCTTCCTGTGCAGCTCTGAAAGCCTGCTCCTCTTCCACACTAGGGTCATCCATTTCTGTAATTTCTGGTCCACTGGAGTATTCTTGATAAACTGGTGGTGGAACTGGGGGTGTGTAATTATCCACACTATACTTACATCCCCAGCCTACGTAGAAATTTTCAAATTTTCTATAAGTTAAAAAAGTCATATTCAGTGAAAAAGATGATCTTTCTGTAGACATACAGTGCTATTTCATTGTACCATGGTCCAGTAAGAAAAATGTACATTTAAAATACAAAGTTAGAGGTAAATTATCCCCTACTATTCTACTATAGGCAATCATTTTGATCCAAACTGCTTAAGCTAAGAAAACCATGGGCCCAGACCCTGTCAAAATATACCATACACCTAGAACTCAAGAAAAGGCTTTACACAATTCAAGGTTGGGGGGAATGTTACTAACTTCTCAGAAAGTTATATAGAAGGGTTTAAACATGTTCCCACTGAACTGAACCATCGGTGGTATATGTATGATTGTCCAGCAGTTTTTACCACTGATGGTATAAACACATCTAATCACCTCAGTCTTTTTGCTAATAAAGTTAACAAAAAGCTGCCCATGGGACAGTCATGCATGTTCCACCCATGGTTCAAGCCACTGAGTAGTGAGGCCCTGTCATGAGTGTGTTAAAAGGCCATTAACCAAGCAGACTTGGCTGAGTGAGGAGTCAAACTTGGGGTTAAAAAACCTATGTTACTTTTTCAGGCCCAACCTTGGGCAATTACAAAGGCTTTATCTGGGAAGCCTCACCCTGGAAAACTCCCCACTCCCCAACTGGGAGGACTACTTTTCTCACACCAAACAAGGTGTCCAAGCAGTGCATTGCTGAGGAGAGCTATGTCCAAGGTCTTTCGCCCCTCTGGTTGGTCTTGCTCGCTTTCTGTGTTCCTAGCTCAGCTGCCTTCATTTCTAGGTTTTTTCTGAGGCCTGAACACCCATTCTCATCTCCATCTGAAAACCACAAGTGCCTTTTGTTCAGAGACTGCCTTGTTAGTGAAGTGATCCCCAAGACCCCCAAATCTATGACAACCATGTTTCTGCAGACCCATCTGACCACTCACAGTAAGAAATGAGTTTTGAAGAAGTCAAAAGAGTTGTCCTGCATGTGCTATCACAGTGAGGGACTGAAGGTTCAGTTCTGAGTTTTTGGCTTGTTGCCCTAATGGTTCTCTGACACCTGACAGCTCAGCTCTCTCTAGCACCACTGTACTGCCGAGGAGAGACTGTCATGAAAGAATGGCAGCACAAGACAAAAGGAATTTCTAGGTGAGTGATAATAGGATTTTGAGTATATTGATTCTAAATCCCTCAAAAGCGATTACAGCATTTTTAATTGTTCTTTATCAAACATGTTTAACAAAAGGGATCTGAGTCTTAAACTAACCACTACTTAGAATTATCTCCATCAATCTAAGTAAATAAGTAAATTACACAAATAATCATAGAATAAAAATCATATTTTCTTTCAGTTAAGGGCAAAAGCCTGAATTACTCTAACATCAATGATATACTGTATAATCAATACTTGCCGCACACATATAATATAGCAAAGATGAATAACAATACTAGCTTAACATTCTAGCGATAACATAATTTCCAAAGCTTACTCAGGAACTTACTTGCCAGTGGAAAAGGCATATGCTCCAGGCCAAAGGTTGGATCGAAGGACTGCAGTAGCATACTGTGGAATGAGACTTGAGGATAGTCGTGTTGTCCAAGCGGGTATATTCTGAATTTCTGGAACACAATGAGAAATTAAAATCTTAACTCTCAAATAGACAAGAATCTACTGTGCAGCTGAAATTATTTTTCTAAATATTAAAAACATACATACATATTTGATATAGAAAGAAATTAAAAGACCATATAAAATCAGGAGAGTATTTTTTGAATGCTTTAGAACTACACAATTTGAAATATACATATCTATATGTACATTCACACATATACACATTTTTCCTACAGAGGTTTTATTAAGGGAGAGGAGGTTATGTGGGAAAAGGAATACTATTTTGTATTATGTGCCACCAAAGAAAAGTCAGATTACTATTAATGAAGAAACTAAACAGTACCATCGAAAGCGTTTACATGGCTATGCCATGTGTTTATAGTCTGCAGAATGCAAGGCAGAATGATGCACAAGGATCACCATTTCCCCTAAGGCTGACAGCATATGTTTCCTCCCTGTATCACTGCTTTGGCCTACAATTCCAGAACATGAAAGGAGAGGGGTTGAGACCTTGGCACCTACCTACTTTTTGGAGGTTCCCGGTTCTTATGTATGTACCACATAGTGCACATTGTATATAGTTTTGGGGTTACTCTGCTAATAGTTACATAAAGTTACCTAAATCTTCAGAGATTGGGGTCAAAAGAGGAGGCCCCACTTCTTGTTCTACATAGTCAGGTTCTTCTCCTTTTTCTTCTTCCTTTTCTTCATCTTCCTCTTCTTCCTCCTCATGTTTTGGTATGGGATTGAACCAAGTACAGCGACCCTGGAAATGAATGTTTCAAGATTTAATAGTCTAATGTAGATTTTAAAATTTCAATATTCATTTGGATTGAAGCATTTATCAGGATGTGGTTTCAATGTATGGGAAACTAATTTTCCATTTATGCTTTCTACATGCATTTACCAAGTGCTATTTCCTCTAATTTTCAACCAAAAAAATATACTATTATTTCCAAGAATTTGCTAACTTCTTGAAGTTACAAAATTTGAAGTTTCATGTGTATCTTAAAATTAACAGAACCTTAGTGGAAAAGGTTGTATTATATTGGTTGCATTATATTGGTTGTAATAAATTGTATAAATTAAGTAAAGCTATTATGATTAACAATTTTTAAATTTGGTAATAAAGTTGGGGATTAAATTTCTCAACTCTAGGGGCTGGGGATTTAGCTCAGCGGCAAAAAGCGCTTGCCTGGCAAGCGCAAGGTCGTGAGTTCGGTTCCCGGTACCGGAGAAAAACCAAAAAAAAAAAAAAAAAATTTCTCAACTCTAGATGTGTCTCAGAGTATATCCTACCTAGATCAAAATATAATGAAGATTTTTCCACCTGTAAATGAGGGAGTACAATAGAGGGTTTAGAAGGATGGACCCTGGCTCCATTCTACACAGCTTCACATCTGACTATGTTATTTATCAGCCGCATTCTCTCTGTCATGTTCTTAATGGTTCCTAAATTCTCTGCCTCAGTTTCCTCATCTATGAGATAAAGATAATAATACAAAAATTTTCATAAGGTGGTTCTGGGGATTAACTTAGGAATAGATGTATATAATCAATTTAAAAGATAGCGTATGCATCTATAATTTAATATATAGTATAGTCATATAATTTAATACAATCATACATAACATTTAATATGCATATAGTCCTATTAACACCTGATACATACATCCTATAACTGCTACATAGCACTATTTACTTACTTTTTTAAATCTTTCATGGTTCTTGACATAAAAGGTCCATGTATTATAGAGATAGAATAAAAGAGCTCTTTCCAAAATAATTCATCCATCACTAGTTGATATATAAAAGCAGAGTAATTTCAGAACACACACAAATCTAAGTCTGTGCAGTATCTGACAACATTCCCCTACCTGAGGAAGAATGTGCTGAACGTGATGAACCCAATTGGATAGAGATTCCACTAGATCAATCACTTGGATGCCTTCAAAATCAGGGTTTTCTTCAAAGCTATCTCGTCCGCTTTCTACATCTTCCTCTTCCTCTCCTTCCTCTTCACCGAACTGATAGAATCCTAGAGGACTGACATGAGTTCCTGCTGAAATTCGGGCAATTTGTGCTCGTAAGTAATTGCTCTCATTTCCTGGAAAAGGTGGGTAGCTTACGATGGGAGCATCCAACCGCCCAGTAAAAAATTTTTTGATTTTTCTTGCAGTAACAATTTGTGCAGGTGTGACTGATGGTAGCTTCACCCACGGTCTTCCTGGTTCATTGCAAACAAAATAGACATATTTGTTGGCACCCGTCCTACTTTCTTCTTTTGGAATCGCCTGTGGGGGCTTGTAGAAGGACTTCGGTAACTCATCCTCCTCATCTTTGTCAGCCTCACTTTCACCATTGTACCTCTCTTCAGCTTCAGCTACATCCTCTTCTTCCACTTCCTCTTCATCTTCCCCCTCACGAATTTCTACTTCAGCTACAATATAATTCATTTCCAGGCCCAAGATCTTGCCCCAGAAACGGCATCTTTGGACTGGGTGAGTGTCAGTAAGTTGTTTGAGGGCAAGAAATATGCGATAAGTTTCATCCGTGCCCAAACCAAGTCCAGCTTGTTCAAAATAAAAAGCGGACTCCATTACATTTGGAAGAGAGTTCTCTGCCTGGGAAAACAAATCCTATTAAAATGTTATCCATAAGCAGAAATGCCTGTTTCCTTGATATTAGCTCTAATTTCTCCACCCCTTTAACATTTCTTCAAAGATTTAACTTAAACTATAATAGTTCTCAAATTTCACTTCTACTCTCATAACTTATAAACTTAGCTTCTTATACTCATTGTATTTTGTACTCCTTACTATGACAGTTACCCTGTTTTATATGTATATGTTAGGAAGAATTTAATAACTGTTATTGATAATGAAAATACAACAGTCTGTTTTATAAAAAATATTTAAGCAATTCTTGTGCTAAAATAAGATGTAACTTGCATACACAAGTATTTAGAGAAAATAGAGGTATAAATATTTTACATTGCCATTTAAAAATATTTTTGAAATACATGGTTATATATGTTTAGGGTAAATAACAATCAATATATTTATATATATACATATATGTACAGATATGTGGTAACAGTATAAATAAAAAGAAAATGTAATAAAGTTAAGTGTTCAATTTAACTTGAAGACAATGTAATCAGATGCATATCCCTACTTACAATAAATAATTTGTGATCTAACATAATGAAGAAAAATATAAATAGTCCTACAAAAGAATAAACAGGAAAATGAGCAAGCAGTCTGAAGTGTGCTGAAGAAAAACATTTGTGAGAATGTGGGAATGTAGGAAAAAACCTTAACTGAGATGATAGAGAAATGGAGAGCATTTGCTATTCTTACACACGATCTGCTCTCATTTATATTATTATAGTATCATAATAAATATAATGCCTTTTAAAATCCTCATCTTTTCTTATATATTCTTAAAGACAGGGTCTTGCTATATGGTTCAGGCTGACTCTGAACTCCCAATCTAGCCCAGGCTGGCCTCAAGCGCATTGTAATCCTCCTGCCTCAGCCTCCAAAGTGCTGGGATTACATGTGTGCTCCACCATGTCCCACTCTTGCTTTGGGTTATAAAACTCATTGTTGATCCTTCTCAGCCCTCTAGAACTTTTTCTTGGCTTCTTTCATTGGTCCTTTCATTTCCTAAGTGAGCCCTAGATGTTAGTGTCCTCAAAAGTGCCTCTCCATCTCAGCACACAATGTTTTAGTTTTAGAAGTGTTCTCCCATACCACCTCAAGTGATATATGGCTGCTTGGAATTTGAATCTTTCCTCATCTTCTATTTTTCATTTTCCCTGGAATTTTATTTATTGCAGTCTTCACTTGGTGAAGCCTACATATCTTTTGTGATCCAGAAGAAATATCACTTCCACTACAAAGCCTTGCCAAGTTGCCAATAGCAGAATTAGGTGCTCCTTTCTCTCTGGTGGTCTAGCCAGCTGTCAAAACAGTAGAACTGTTGCTGTGATACATCCTTAGTATATACTCAGACCTTTTACTCATACTCCTCAGGATGTTGCCATGTGACTATCCCTGAGGCATGGAAAGTCAAGTCACTTGCTCCAAGTCGTACAACTAGTGAGTGACTGACGCGGTATCTAACTCAGCTCTAAGTCCAAAGCCCAGGTTTTTTCCATCATAGGAAGCCATCTCTTCACTGTACTAATCAATAGCTTTATAATTTTTGGTGTCCCTCTTACTTGACTGTAAGCAACTTAAGGCAGAAAAATCTTTTCCACATGCACATCTCTCTACGTGGAATGCAGTAGACAGTCACAGTATTTGCCAGTGAATGAGTGCTGAAGTCTAGGCACAACTACAAAATGAATACATACACAGAAGTCAGGAACAGCATTGTCACATAGCTGAAGTCTCGTTCTTTCAGAAGCCAACTCTTCCTGTTCCTTCTCTGAGCTTTTCACTCAGTTTTCCCAGGTTTTAAAGCCAGTTCTACCCTGTTCATCAGGATGATTTATCGACTCTCCTTAGTCTAAATGTCCCCACCAAGCCTCACGCTCTCATAGGTGGGGCTTTTGGAAAAGGTTGGATCACGGATGTGGGACTGTGCAGTAAGGGTGTGTGGTGACTAAATTACTCCACTGAGTGCTTCAGCACGGTTTTGGTGGTGGATAACGGGAAGGTCCACCCTACGAATGGTTGGCACTATCTGATAGGTTTGTAGCCTGGATGAGACAAAAGAGAAAAGGAGGCTTGCCGCTTGCTGATTTCTGTGTTCCTTGCCATGGATTGTTTCTCCTCTGTGATACCCCTCTGCCATGCCGTGATGGCTTGGAGCCAGCTGGCTATGGACTGGAGCCTCTACAGATTGTGAGGTAAAATAAACCTTTTCTCCTTTAACTTCTGGATATTGAAAGTATTTTGTCCCAGCAATGAGGAAATAACTAAGACAAGGGCTTAGGTGCTAGGTCGAAACAGGTTATTTCTGTTTTCATTCAGCATGCTACTCTTAAGATGGGGACCCTCGCCCTAGGACGCTGTGCTTTTCATGTCCTGGTGCCCATTTGGACCTCGCCTTGATTAAGGCCTCTGGGGGACCTCTTCTACCTGCCTGCCCCATGTGCTGTGCCCCTGAGACCACACCATTATGTATGGCAACATAGCCAAATGCCATCTTGTTGAAGCAGCCTGGTATTGATTACTGAACCCCACCAGCCTTTCCTTCTCAGTACTTTGGACCCCACCGCCCATGGGCTGCTGAACTGCAGGCTTGCACCTAGGTTCCAATTTTCCCCTACAGAGTGAGTCTCTTTTTGAAAATATGTTACTCTAAACATCGGATTTGCAACTTATGTACACACTTTAAGTATGCTAGTAACAGAACAGGGAGGTTCAGAAGATGTGTATGTAGGACTTAGGAAACAATACAAGATACTCCTTTAAAATATTTTAAGCTTTTTTTGTTTTGTACTATTGGGAACTGAAACCAGGGTCTCCTGCATGTCAAGCAAGTGCTTCACCACTTAGCTACATCCCCAGCCCATTATGAAATTTTATTTTGAGGCAGGGTCTTGCTGAGTTCCCCAGACTGGCCTTAAGCTTGCAAAGCCAGCTGGAGTTATACAGTGAGTTCAAAAGCCAGCCTAAACTGCATAGTCAGATCCTGTCTCAAAAACACCAAACAAAAGCAAAAACAGGCGGGCGTGGTGGCACACGCCTGTAGTCCCAGCACTCAAAAACACCAAATAAAAACAAAATCAGTGGGTATGGTGTAGCACACCTGTAACCCCAGCACTCAGGAGGCTGACAAGGAGGATAGCTGCAAGTTTGAGGCCAGCCTGGGTTACACAGTGAGTCCAGCCTGGACTATGCAGCAAGAGTCTGTCTTTAAAAAAACAAAACAAAGCACATTTGGCTGGTTCCAAGGCAGGGTGGCAGAGCAGGGGGGCATTGCAGATGAGAAATAGTCCACAGTAAGCAGGCAGGCAAGAACACATTAATCCTGTCTCTGTCCCTTATATTTTATGCAGACTACCTGCCCTAGGGTGAGTATAGCACTCGTACCCTTAATCCTACCCAGAACTATGCCCAACCGATCAGTGGACTGAGTTTTGTAAATCAATCACACACCCTTGATCCCAGCACCACACAGTCTAGATCCACCTCTGAAAATCCCCCTCAGCCATCTCTGAAAAGCAGCTCCCCTCCCCCATGATGGCATGAGGTTTTTGCAGACATCTGGACACAAGTATAACACATAGCTTACATGTAACTGCAGGGCAGTAGGTTTGCCTGCATGAGTCTCACCACAGACACATGAAGAATGCATTACACTATGTCCTCATGATAGTTTCAGTGTCGGTGATAGAAACTTAACTGTATCTGGCATTCACTGTTCAACAAATATTTAATAAGAACTAACTATATGCCCAGATCTGTACCAGATAACTTGGAGAATATGATAAACAAAGAAGCCATCTTACAAAGAAACCATCCTTTCTGTTTCCAAGAAACTTACCACACAAACCTCTAACAAAAACTAAGGCTTATAACATATTACAACTTCATGTGAGCTAGACCTAGTGGTACATGCTTGTAATCCCAGCCCCAGGGAAGCTGAAGCAGGAGGATCATGAGTTCCAGGCCAGCCTGAGTTACATAGCAAGACCCTGTATCAGAATAACAACAATAACAAACCACACATTGTGAAATAATAATTAACAAGGAAGTGAGTGGCATCAAGTGAGTTAGTTGGAGGCTTGAAAAGATTTAAGGAAATTAAGATGCAAATACTATTTAGAAAGCCATAAAAACTACTTGCTATGAACTTAAAGCCACACCCCATCCAGCTCCCCAGGACTCCCCCAAAATTTAACCATTAATATTTATAGTAATGACTTACAATTTCATCTTCCAGTTCTTGGTCAGCTCCTTCCAAATGTCCCTGGAGAAAAAGAGCCTTTTGCCTCTCTGCTATTTCATATGTTGGGAGCATCTCATTCTCATTTTGGAGTGTATCTAACTTTTTACTAAAATGTGCCATTTTCACCTTTTGGCTGATATTTTCAATGATGTCAACAGCATTTTCAGGACGCTCATCAAATATCTTGGTCAGCACATTAGAAAGATGATCATATCTACTCAAACAGAGAAAATTCCAGATCACACGCACATTAAGAGCACTTATAGAAGCATTTCCTGCAGGTCACTTGGTTTTAGGGAACTCATGAATCTGACATCATCAGGGATTTTCAGTGAAGATGAGTCTGCCATGTTAGAGAGAAGCTATCCTAGAATTTTTCCTAAGAAATGCATCTAATGGGATAGGATGTTTAAGCTATTAAAGAAAAACATATTAAAGGAAGATACGTCATTCATATCAGATACAGCTTCACATTTCATTTCTGAAATGGAAGTCTCTTTAAAAGTGAACAACATTTTTATTGTTACTTTCTTTTCCATTCCCCTGTCCCTGTCACCCAACTTGATTTCTAAATCTGCTGATTGTATCTTTAAGACCTGTTTACCTCCTTTCTGTATTATTTTTAAGCCAGTTATTTACTTTATTTAGACCTACAAAGAATACATTTCACATTGCAACCTCCACCACACACAACAAAGACAAGTGTTATCAAATATGACGTTAAACTATGATACCGCTAAGGGGCTGGGGATTTAGCTTAGCGACAAAGCACCTGCCTGGCAAGCGCAAGGTCGTGAGTTCGGTTCCCGGTACTGGAGAAAAACCAAAAAAAAAAAACCCAAAAAACTATGATACCGCTAATATTTGGTTCTATTCAATCAAAAACAAAGCACTAGCTTTTATTTCACAACTAAATTACTGAAACTGCTTCTATCCTTTCGTTAATTCATTATATTTTATACATAACTGCTAGTGTGTGCTTTTTCAGTATCAGATTTACAGCACAGATTTTCTTTGAACAAGACAAACCCCTGGCAAATTTCTATTGGTGAAAAGAAACTTCTGTTGAAACTTGCATAAAATGACTCTCTGGTGGGTATGCATTAGATTTCTCCAATTTCTTTCTAGTTCACTTAAATCTTGCCTTAGTGAAAGAATACTTCCATCAAATACTATTTTTTAATTAAACTTTAGAGTGTACTTTCTGTTTCTTTAAGCCAAATAATGGCTACAAACATATATTCTGCATTATATATTCAGTAGGGACTCAGTATTTTCTGACAAAAGAGGAGGCACCTTGGCAGGTTAAGTTGAGGACTGAAACAGATTCAAAAGATGGCCTATGGTCTGCTGCCATTCATTCATTCTTTCATTCATAGTCAGTAATCAGCTGATAACATCATGATAGTAACTGAACATGTAAACATAGTACAAAGCGTACATTGTTACCGCACTCTGGGGCCTGCAGTATAGTGCCCTGAATCAGGCATTAAAATGTAAATGTATAAATATGTATACAGTTATAAATAACATTGGGTACTCTGGAGGAAAAGATGAGGCTCTTATATGTGGGTTCTGGAGCTGGGCATGGTGGTGCACGCCTGTAATGCCAGCACTCAGGAGGCTGAGGCCGGAGGATCGTTGTGAGTTCGAGGCCAGCCTGGGCTACAAAGTGAACTCAAGGCCAGCCTAAACTGCATAGCGAGACCCTGTCTTAAATAATAATAATAATAATAATAATAATAATAATAATAATAATACTTGGGTTCTATGGAAGCTGAGTTCTGAAGGGCCAGTAGTTAGCCAGGCATAGGCCTAGGAAAGAAGCCTCCAGGCCAGGGGACTCACAGTGACTGATCAGGCTGTGGGGCTACAGCAGAGTCTTGGGGAGGGAGATGTGAGTCAGTGATTCCTGAGACTGTGGATCCAGCAAGTTAAGTAGTCTAGGAGTCAGATCCCTCCCCGAGAAACAAACGAGTTGATATGATGTTTTCTAAAGTCCTTCTAGCTTAACATTTGACACACTCTGCTTATGTGACCATAACAGCAAGAATCTATGGAAATCTGTACTGTTAGGAGTTCTGAAATTGAAACTACAATTGGATGCCCAGAACATACCTGAACTGCTGGTCACCACACATGAAGAGAGACCTGGGTAAAGTGGGAGGGTTCTGAGCGCCTGTGTGATGACAAATTCTCCCAATATGCAGAACTCAGGGCTTTTCTAGATGCAGTTCCAGTGCTCAAGTCAGGACAGTCCCAGGAAGCTGGGACGTCTGGTCCCCACAGCACTAGCCTGGAAAGTAGCTCCCAGCCATGCCACACAAGCACTAGAACATTTAAATTGCAGACACAGGCCTTCCCTACCATTGTGGACAATTATTTTTTACAAGCATCCTGGAAAGATGCTTACACTTCTTTGCCTTTATTTTCTCTTCACAGCACAAGATTCATAAATCTTAGATTTCATTTCTGTGCTCCAGAGTCAAAATTCTTAAGAAACCCCACTGCTAACTGGGCGTGGTGACACACACCTGTAGTCCCAGCACTTGGGAGGCTGAGGCAGGAGGATGGCTGTGAGTTAGAGGCCAGCCTGGGCTACAAAGTAAGTTCAAGGCCAGCCTGCTTTTAGCGCTGTGATGACATTTTATGTGACTTTCTTTTCCTATAATATCTTTTGAAATGTACTTCCATTTACCGAGAGAAATACACTACCACAAATACCCTGCACCCTTTTCACTTAGCCAAACTGTTCTCCTTTTTATCGTAGACTTACAGGTTCAAGCCAGTCTTGCTGCTGGCCTGAAACAGGTAACCCTTGGCGTTCTGCACTGCGATCTCAAGCGTGCTGGGGGCGGTCTCTGAGGCCCCGGGCTCGGGGTCCTCCCCCTGGGCATTGCCGGTTCGCAGCTCTTTCGGCTGAGAGTGCGTGCTGCTTGACCTGTATTGCTGAGTCGGTGGGGAGGTGTCCTCCCTGGACTGGCTTCCAGAAGCCGATGCCTTTTCATCAGTCGACAGCCCCAGGGGGTCGGGGAGAGCAGTCCCAGCATCGGGGGCCCCACTGACGGCCCCGTCTGGCTGCTGTGCGGCCCCGAGGTCCTGCCTGGCCAGAGCGCGCAAGGGCTTCCGAGGCTGCGGCGGCGGGGGAGACACCGCCCCGTGTCCGGCTGCGCGGCCTCGGGACCCGGGGCTCCGAGTGCGGCTGCTCCCGGGCCGGGGTTCGGCCGCGTCGGGCGCTCGTTCGGCCTCCCAGGGCCCGGACGACTGGGGACCGGGGTCCCGGGGCGGAGCTGCTGCCTCTTCCTCCCCTGGCCGCGCTGCTTCTCCCAGTTGTTGGTTTTCTGTTTCTTGACCCAGGGAGGTCGAGTCTTCCATGGAAAGAATCGTGAGAAAAGGTCTGATGAGGCGTGAAGAAGGGGAAGAAGGCGAACGTCACTCAGCGCTCCGGGTGCTCCGCCAGGGTTAGCGTCCCGTCTCCATGGCAACCCCGGGGCAGTTCCCGCCAGAAGAACAACTGCGGCCAGGGTTGTCGGGAGACCAAGGTGAGAATCCTAGATCTGTGATTTGATGGAGCCCCTGTCCCTCCTTGTTGCTCACCCAATCCGACCCGGGCTCTACCGCTGCTGTTAGGAACACCAGCTGCTGGCTCGGTCCCTTGAGCACCTCGTAGGCGCAGTGGTGACCCGGGTGACTTAAGGTCATCTGATGTGTGATCCAAGCTGTGCCACCAGGAGCAAGTTGTGCATTAGTGAAGAAACAGTGTGTGTGTGTGTGTGTGTGGTGGAGACTTGGGGACTCTTGTCTCATTGCTGCCACCAACCAAGTCGGGAGACTGGGAAAATTAAGCAAGGTCTGAGATTTGCTCTCCTGCCTTGGGTTGGATCTGCCTGACGGGTAGGCCGAATACATCTTAAAGGAGAAGGCAATGCAAAAGTTACCCTGTGTAAACAGTATCGTGGGCTACCCATTTTCTAATAATTAAAATTCAGATGAACGCTACAGCTATATTGTTATAAAATATTTTGTAATGTACATGTGAATTCATAATTTTACAATTACTTAAGGTCATGAGTGTAACTAGTAACTTTTGTATGCTCTCTCCCTCACGAAAAAAGTCTACAGGATTGGATCATATCTAGACTCAACTGCAAATGGTAAAGTAGTCAAGTCTTTAATGTTAGCTTGCTCTGCATTTCTCTTTTTAAATAAACCAACTAATACTTGGTTATTTTACACTTTACATTGATGTGAGTTTCATTTAGCACAGAACTTGATGGAAGAACATAAACTCTTCTACCCATAGTTTAGTGTGGGAATAAAAAACTCTTTAATAGTTTGATATAAGATATAGTTCTTTTCCTTTCCACGTGTGTGAATTCACATAATTGTGCATCTAATTTCTGCTGGCTCAAGGACTCCTTAATGTTAGCTCTTCTAGATTTAGAATCCTTGGAATTGTTAAATCAAAAAATCAATGAGAACTATAAGTTGATTTCTTTGTCACTGGTGCAAGGTTTACAGCAAACATTTCTCTGCTTAGTGGGTCTTTCTTCTGTCCTGCAGCTGATAAGATGTGGCGGAGGCTTTTTTCTTATAGGGAAGGTGGTAAGGCCAGGACAAAGGAAGCATAAAGGGACAAGGTGCTTAGAGGTAGCCAATAGAGAAATGTAAATCACTTGTATTTATTTATTTATTTATTTATTTATTTATTTATTTTTTGTACTGGAAATTGAACTCAGGACCTTGCACTTGCTACACAGGCACTTGTGCCGCTGAGCTATATCCCCAGCTTGAGAAATGTAAATCAAAACAACACCGAGATTCCATCTTACTGTACTAAGAATGTCTACTACATGCTCCACAGGAAATGCTGGTGAAGTTGTCGGGGAAAAGCAATCCTTCAAGAGATAGATTCCAGGTTCTTCGGTATCGTGAGCAAAGAATTTCTTTCACCAATGGTAAAAGAAAAAGCAGCTAAATTTGTTGAAGATGATGGGGAGTTTTGTGTAGGGTAAGTTTCTGCCAAAAGAAACAAAAAGGTGGCACAAATGGACGGCAGGGAAGTAGGAACAATGGATATAAACCAGGCTGTTGGTTTTAAACAGGGTGCAGCCCACCTGGGTTCTCTCATTGGATGTCTCTGGATAAGAGTGACAGAAATGATTGACAGGGTGCTGAGTCATCCAAGGAGCACCTTGTATACTTGGCTCTACCAGAATTCAATCTATTTTAATAACACACATGAGATGTCATCTAAATACATGAAATTTTAAACAAGTTTGAGTGGGGAAAATGTTACTGAAGGTCAGGTTATGAGATCTAACACACATTTGCTCTGTCTGACCAGAAGCTTTACAGATTTTTGGGGATCTTTGTTATTTTTATATCTGCTTCTCTTATGACAATGGAAGAGGACTGGCTCTGGGGTGTTGTGCAAATTCAGATTGGTGGAGGAGAGTGGTTTCCCAGCCTCAGTTGCACTACCTGTACTACTTTTCACTTTTGGTGGGAATTCAAACTAGTACAAACATTATGGAAAGTGATGATTTTGGAGATTCCTCAAAAGACTAAAAGTAGAAATTCCATTTTTCCAAGTTGTACTTCTTCTGGGTGTCTTCCAGAAAGAGCTAAGCCAATCATATTATACTGATACATATATACCCATGTTTATAGTAGCACCACTCACTGTAAGTAAATCATGGAAGCGACCTGTATATCAATTAACAGATGAATAGGTAAAGAAACCATGGTATTAATATATAATGGAGTACTACTCATCCAAAAAGAATAAAGTTATTTGTAAGAAAAGGGATGGATCTTGACATCATGATACTATTATAGGCAGCTAACTTAGATGAACATTACTATATAGTCAGAGAGGGACTGAGGTCTCAAAGAAGTCAGTGAAAGGTGGAGACATCAAAATTGTGGTGAGAGGCACATCAGAAGAATGCAAGGCTTCAGGATTACAGTTACAATGGCCGGGGCTGGGGATAGAGCTCAGCAGCAAAAGTGCCTGCCTTCCAAGTGTGAGGTCCTGAGTTTGATTCCCCCTGAAGTTACAATGGCCAGATTTGCAGACTTCCCTAATGATGAATGGAAATTTGGGACTATACTATAATTAGGGCCACCTAGCCCATTAAGTCCAGATATACATCAGACACCTGGGTGACAGATCATCTGCGCCCACCCCTTTCTCAAAACGTTCCTGTTTCAGAAGTCACAGAAAAGCCAAAGTTAATGATGTCAGCCGTGTACCCTTGCCACATGCCCCACATCCCTACTGGATCAGTCCAGTTAAGCCGCTATACTTGTAATCTTATTGGTTGATAATAGTTCGACCCATACTGTACCCCTCTCATGATTTTTTACCCATCTCATTATTTTGCCCTATAAAACATTCTTGGAGAAATGACCTCAGTGGCAACCTACCTGGAACCCCTCCTGTCTCTCAGGAGCTATTTCTATTCCCCAGTAAACCTTTCCTACTATTAATCTCCTTTGTCTTTGGAATTCATTCTTTAATGTCATGGGACATGAACTTGGCACATCTGACATTTAGCAAGTTGGGAGTTATATTTTTTCTATATTGATACTAAATAAAATTAATCAGACATAGAAATTTAACTATCATTAATTTATTTGATATGAGAGACTCAAAATATTAAGAGCAAAATAAAAGGGGGATGGTAGGAAAAGGGAGGTAAACTCTATGGAGATGAGAAAGGATCTAGGAAAGGAAGGCAAAAAACATGGGCAGTTCAAAGGAGAGAAACACAGCCAAGACGTGATCTGTAATATATGTGTATGATTTTTCTAAGATAGACATCAATGTTGCAAACATTTACTAAACATTTACTAAACAATTAGAAAATAAAATATTTTTTCCTTTTTAAAATAAAAATATATCCGCATGCTTAAAACTATTTTTATATCTCTGTCCTACATTTTTTTTTTCCTGGTTATTTTTGCCTGGATTTCTTACTTAAATTTACAATTTTAAACAATCCTTACAAAATTTTTGAATTCAGAAAAGATTACACTTTTGTAATAAAATAAAACACTTGTTTTTATACTCTTTTGGTGTTTTTGAGACAGACTCTTGCTGTGTAGTTCAGACTGGCCTTGAACTCACTATGTAGCCCAAGCTGGCCTCAAACTCACAGCAATCCTCCTGCCTGCTTGAGCCTCTGGAGTGCTGGGACTACAGGCCTCTGCCACCACACCCAGCTTGTTTTTATACTCTTAACAACCAAAATACAGCTTTATTATTTTGTATTCTTTGCATAAAGAATTATATATGTTAAGCAATGTTTGAATTCTTGCTAATCTTACTTTTGTTGAAGATCCAAGAAGAAAACAATCTTCAATAGTTTTGTGATATAACAATTTATGAAGACACATTTAATGGACCCAACTTAATTTTTTATAGAATTAAAAAAACCCAAAGTATTTCAATTTATACTTAGTAATTGAAATTCTTATATTTTAACTGACGTGAGTTGTTTCCTATCTATCAATATATCTGTGAACATTTATCCCATTTACAATTAAAGTTATTCCTAGGTTGCTTATGGAAACTGATATACAAGCATAGGCAGTAATTTGTCAAAGAATAATAGTAAGAGTTGCTGTACTTGAAACAGCAATGGATATTGCATTTAAAAATTCTAAGAAAGATAAATACAATTAGCTGGGCACTGTGGCACACATCTGTGATCTTAGCACTTGGGAGGCTGAGACAGGAGGATCGCTGTAAGTTCAAGGCTAGGTTGGGCTACACACTGAGTCCAAAGCCAGCCCAAACTACATAGCAAGACCCTGTCTCAAACCAAACAAAACAAAGATAAATACCATTATGGTTGTCCAATAATCAGGTAAAAATGTGTGCTAACAAAACTGAAGAAATCTTTTTATTATCTTAACAAATTTAAATTAACTCATTTGGGCCGGGGATATAGCTCAGTGGCACAAGCGCCTGCCTGGCAAGTGTAAGGTCCTGAGTTTGAGTCCTGATACACCCTCCAAAAAAAACTCATTTGTCAAAAGTTTACCTAAATCATATGAAAACATTTATGACAGAATGAAACAGTTCAGTTTACTTGTTTTTATGACTAAACTTTATCATTTTATTTGCAGATCTTATGTAAGCTTAGGACCAAATTTTTGGTGAAACTGTTCACATCACAGCTTGATTTTTTAAAAACTAATTTTATTGGTACATTTTAGATATACATAACAACATTCATCATAGAGAATTTGCATCTGTTCAGTGATACATCTTTCTTCTTTTTCTCCCATTCCCTTCCCCTCCCTTCAACCCAAGAAATTTTTCAGAAAAAAATAGAAAACAGAAAGGGATGGAAGACAGAGACAAGTATCAGATGATAAATTGAATTCCATCTCTAACTAGTAAGAGATACAGAAAAGCGTAAAGGAAAAAGTGAGAAATGATCAAAGAAATAAAACTGAAGATAATTTTCCGAAAACATTACTTTTAGGAACCATTCCCAAAACACTGTTTCCCAGGAGCCTCTTTAAAGAAAGGAGGAAGCAAAAACGTGAAAGCTACAAAATTCAGTTGGAATCCCCACCCAAATCAGGAAGATAGATGATAAATGGACAGACAGAGAAATGAACGCAGGTAGAAAAAACAAATTAACACAGCCCTCACACTGCGAGCAAACGCAAGGCGCTACACCCCGCACGGACAGGGCGCGCCCTCGTCCCCGCCCCTCCTGTTCCGCGAACCTGGGTCGCAGGAGGCCACCCGCCGTCGCAAGGGCTTCTGGGAGTCAGCTCTCGGCGTCGCGAGAGGCCCGCTGGCCGCCATCTTGGGTCGGGAGCAGGTTTGCCCGTGCAGCCGTGCTCCGCGCTGGGGCGGGACGGGCTGTCTCTCCTTCCCCGCGGCCTGGCCAGACGGGGCCCCAGGAGCGGGTGAGTGGGCGTGACGCCGGGGAGACTGAAGAGGCTGAGGCTGGTGCCCTGGGGAGGGTGTGCGCCCCGTGCTCGCCGCGGGTGTGCGGGGTTCCCGCAGGGCGGCGGGGGCGTGGCGCGCGGGGCGGCGGGG